AAAAAGTCCACTAAACTGAAAATTCTGCTAATTTGTGACAACTTTGTGTTAGTATGGAACTCCGCGGTCAAACGTAAGGCGCATGCGCGAGTATACGGAAATGGGGGCTACCAAAAATTAATAAGAGAGACCTTACGATTTTAGGACGGCAACGCGACGGCGACGGCCAAAACAAACGACTTCAAATTAATGGTAGTAAAGATAGTTTGTGGTATATTATCAATCGTTTGAATTTAATACAGTTTTAGAAGTTGAAGACATGGGTTTTATGGTTGGGAAGAGTTCTGCTAAACCCAGTTTGAAGTTGCACCTGTTGCGGCTTGGAATGTAGCCGTTGTATCAAGACGTGAAAATTTGTGATTTGGCGTTGTAAACAGAGCGAGGACAATGTCTAAATTATTCATATATCGTAATTACTCAATTATTTTCAATGATCTATTGTATTGGTAGCCGTTGCCGTCGCGTTGCCGTCCTAAAATCGTAGTATCTAAGAGTAAATGCGGGAAAAGAATACGCCGCTTTTTCCTTGTGTTAAGACGAAGTTATACTGAGTTTAAACACTAGTTATTTTCTTCAAACTCTTTACTTGACCTTCGTGAAGACAATACTATTTCCAGTCTTTTGAATACAAAAAGTAAATTCGCGCGGACGTTTGTCTGCGGTGTTTAGTATGAGTACTTTGGAGTCTTCGGTATCTTTATCACAAAATTCTGAAAACTAAATTTTCATTCTCTTTACAGAATGTTGCTTGAAAATTACTATGCCAAAAATTCCAAGGTCAAGCATTTGACTTAATGTACATCAAATTGTCTGGTACTTTGATAGTTCACAAAACAACCTCTAAATTTTCACTCTATTAGTTCAAATTGCCTTTCAACCTACCATTTTTGTGCGCAAGCCATTTTAAAAGTGGTATAAAAAAATAGTCCTGCTGCACTCAAAAATATATTTTTCGGAATAATTTTATGATAGAGATACCAGAAGAACCCAAACTACATATACTAACACAAAGTTGTCAAAAATGTTGCGGAATTTTCAATTTAGTGGACATTTTAGAACTGTGCACCACTGTTTTACAGTCTATTTCAATAGTCAGATAATATGATATTTTCGTGTTGGTGTTGTGTACACAGGTGAAATGATTGTTTGTGATCGATATTATTCTGAGTGTATATCCACACCGGGCTAGTATTCCAAAGGTCGTAGGTTCGATTCCCACCGCGGCCAGGCATATTTTTCAAGCTTGCCCGGTGTGGATATACACTCAGAGTAACATCACAAACAGTCAAGTAATATGTTATAAATGATATGTTTCAACGTTTTAACCAGAGTATTGCTGCTGTTATAAAACCACCAGTTCAGGATGTTGTCCAGTTCTTAAAAGAACATATCCAGCACGATATAAGATGTATAGCACAATGTACTGGTAAAAATGATGACGAGGCGGTGCAAATAATCCATCTATTGCTTGTTCGTATTGTAAGCGACCTGGATCAGCAAGGAGGTACGTTTGATCGTATAGATACGTAACTAATTCCACTGGTCTGTGACTAATACACAAATTTGTTGCAATTAATATATAATTACATTTAGAATGTACGAAAGATTTAGAATTTGGAATGATGGCCTATCAAGATATGATGTTCTGGAAACTAAAGCCCTGTTTAAACGGATCCAACATTGTTGGGCCAACATCATCCAACATTGTTGAAATAATGGCTCAAACGGCTTCTTTTTCAAATATTTTGTCAAGACTAGGTTTAGGGTTTGAGTAAAGCTTATCTAACCAAAAAGATTTGAAAGAGAAGCAGTCATATCTAGTATAGTAACATTGTTGGATGATGTTGGTCCAACAATGTTGGATCCGTTTAAACAGGCCTTAAGCAGAAGTCATTGTTTTTGTCTGAGTTTATGTTAATTTGTGCACGGTCACAGTCTGTGATTGAGCTCATAGTATTTTCGTATAATGATAATGGGGATATAGCCGCGAGGTGAAAAGTGCAACCTGCACGTTGAATAATGTTTAATAAAGTTGAAACAAAGGATTTGTGCATGGCGAGGTACAGTTCAACATCAAACAAAGGTCTTCTGTTTTGTAGCTTTGAAGTTTACCAGGCTTCCAGACCGTCATATCTTGACATACTATTTTGGTATCAAGCATGTCCTGTGAAAGTCAAAACCCAAAACTGCAAAACTACGGCCTCTAAGCCTGAAAAGCCCAATGGACTTGTTCTGGTCTCGTCGAAATTCCTTAAATTTCCTCTTTGTTCGTTGCATTTTGCAAAAGATAACTGATGTCCTCATTCTATACATATGCTCGTATACCTTTGTGCTTTTTGCGCTTAAAGGTGGAGGTTTTGAGTTTCGACTTTGAACTGACAAGCTTAATTGAATTAGTAACTCGTATAATATTTTTCTTGACAACAATCATAACTTCTTAGGTCGCTAAGAATAATTTACCATGATATGATGATTGTATGCGAGAAATATCAAAAAGGCAGGCATCATATCCAAGATTACTGAGTTTTGCTGTGCCTGCTCTCTAACTAAGAACTTTATTGTAGAGAACCTAGTAAATATTGATGGCAACCTGACCACCAAGGATTCAAGAACAGCTTGGGAGGATAAATTTATGACTACGTATTTGAATCCTGTTCTTTCCGTAAGTTTTTACATCGCAGGATCAGATATGATAGTGTTTACATACAATGTAATTTTTACAAAGTTTTTATAATTATGTATTCGTACCAGGATAATTGGCAAAAAAAGTAATGCTTCCTTCTGGAAAGTAGGTATAGCCTTGGCTGTGAGCCTTGTTTTCGTGATTCAAAGCTCGGCTTTTGAATGTCAGGTGTAAATGACGTACGTAAATTATGTACAGACACATCCAGAAGCATCTGCGAAAAATCTGGCAGGAATCTAACGTGCGATTCTGGTGCAGTGCTCTAACCAACTGAACTACAAAGTCCAGTTACCAAGCATTAAACATATCTGTATCTAAAAGTGTATTTAATTTATACTCGAAATTTCTATATACAAAAACCCTTCAACGAAAACGTACCTCTTTGGGCAAGGCAAGGCAAGGCAAGCAAGTACTTCTCGGAAGGGTGCGTTGCATTCGTACAATTGATTGTGTGGAAGAATTTTGATTGTGTAGAAGAATTCTAGCAATTCTACTGATCTTGCATGATGGTAAGTGCTGTAATATGCTAATGCATATTCTATACATGTACCTGTTTGTGAAAAATATTTTCAGAAAAAAATCTACTTGTTTAAAAGTAGCAATAGGAAGATTCCAGATGCAAAACGTAATTTACAGTAGAAGTGAATGAAAGAATGAAATGCTCTTTAAAAGGCATGACAAAAGGGGAAAAACAAAAACATGATTTCTTCAAAATGAAGTTCAATTGGATATTATCTTGAACGGTTTGTGCCAGTGTATGTAGGGCCAATAATAAGCTTCGGGTTGATAGGGATGCAGCTACCTGAAAGTTAGTGAAAACATATGTAGGTTCTTCGCTCGAAAAGTCGAAGTTCTCCTTGTATTTCTCAGGTAGTTGCATCCCTGTCAATCCGAAGCTTTCTTACAATTGGTAAGAAATATTATATTATATTTTCTTACAATTGCTTCTAATTGTTCCATTCTGACGTTCTTAGGCTATTTCCAACCTGCTCAAGGACAGTTTGGATCGTATGGTCCGAGATGAAAGACTTGGTAAGTAACAATATTTTACAGATTTTTAAAAAATGCTTAAAATCATTAACGCATGTTATGCAAGAAGAAATGAATGAAGTAATTAAATGGCTAAACGTGAATAAATTATCTATGAATACAACAAAAACTAAGTATATAATTTTTAAATCAAGAAATAAAAAATGCGACATTGAAATCGATATTAAACTTAATGATAACATTATACAACAGGCTTCTCGCATCAAATTTTTAGGTGTAATTTTAGATCGTGAATTAACATGGAAAAACCATATAAACTCGGTTGTTAAACATATAATTAAATCTACGGCACTTATAGCAAAACTACGACATTACACAAATGAAAATACACTTAAGTTGATTTATTATGCATTGGTTTATCCATGTCTTACTTATGGGAATCTAGTATGGGGTAAAACGTACCCAACAAGGCTACAGAAAATACTGAATATACAAAAAAAAATTATCAGATTGATAAGTTTTAAATCGTATCTTGAACACACTGAACCATTGTTTCAGAACTTAAAGATCTTGAATATCTTTAAGATCAATGACTATTTAAGTTGTTTATTTATGTACCGGTTTAAACGTCTACAAAATGTACCTGAATTTTTTAATGGCTACTTCGCACAGAACAATGAAGTGCATCATTACAATACTCGAAATGCTAACAAATTTCATGTATAAATTTTAGTAGAACAAATTATGCAAAACACACTATTGTTAACAAGGGAGTTAAGATATGGAATTCACTATAGATAAAGAAATTAGCAGTATTATGTTTTATTGTACTTTTAAGAAAAAGTCAAAAATATTTTTCTTGTAAAATATACTTAATTGTTATTATCTGTAAACTTTGTTCAATTAGCTCATTATTACTTTTACTTTAAAATTTTCCTTACTTTATACTTGTATTTGTAAATATTCCTATATTCTTTCGACATTATATGATTAACTTACCGTATAAAACAATTGTAAAAATATTGTAGAACTAGGGGCCTTTGAACAAAAAGCCTGAAAGGGTTTCATGAAGGCTCCTAGCCCGTCATATTGTATACTTTGAAGATTGTAAATGTCAACTTTTCCATAAGGGCAAATAAAATGAAATTCAAATAACAGATAGCCCGTTCGCTGTGACCCCGAAAAGTGCCCACAATACGATTTTCGTTTCCCATGTCTTCGAATTGGAATATTTTTACGGGAACTAACACTTTCGAACCCGCTGAGATCAAATCCGAAACGTTCCCGCTCCGTAGACCCGCAGTTTTTTCACAAACTGCCATTTTATCTTCACTAATTTCACAACAAATTCTATCATTATTCAACGACACGGATGATGGATGAAGACATACGATTGCATAACTCAAAATGACTAATTCTTATAAACCAGTCTCTTCATTTAACAAAAGACCGTTTTGCTCGGATCATTTTGAGTTAGGTAATCTTATAAGCGCGTTGGACGTAAACAACATATCTTGTCTACAACTTTTGGAAGGTACCGACATCGCTTTCTAAAATGCTCAGTTGTGGCTCTAACTCTATAAAATCACCTTAAATGCGAACAAAATATTTTATACAACGATGTAAAACGGTAATCTTATGTAATGGGTCAGCATTTAAATTTCCAACACAGTTTCCGAGACATAATTCAAGAGGTAACTTATCATTGCATTTGAACTATTATATCAGTTGGCGTTATTCTGTGCGGTTAGCGAATATTATTGGAAAGAGGGCTTCCATATACGTTGAAATCACCAAATAAACAGCTCATGCACACATTTCTCCACTTCGTCGTAAATTTACAGAGCAGATTTTATTACTTTGGAACTGGTCTTTGTCTTTGATGTGAACATTTATTTCTTCTTCTAGTTTAAGGTTATTTAAGATTGATCCTGTCGTAAGTCTTCTACCAGCAACCAATCGACAATATTTCATTTTAGCATTGTCTTTGCCGTTACGTTGGCTTCGCGTTACTTTTGTTTTGAATATTTTGATCGCGTTAAAAGAGTTGTTTTTCAGACCAGTGACATAGCCAAAAGACTTAGCATTAATGTCCTTGTGATTTTATAGAGATATCGCTAGAACTGAGGATTTTAGAAAGCGTTTTCTGGAGCTTATCGAAGTTGTAGACAAGATATGTTGTTTACGTGCAACGTTAAGATTACAGAACTCAAAATGATTCGAGCAAAACCGTCTTGTGTTAAAAGGAAGACTGGTTAATTGAAATTGGTCCTTTTGAGTGAAACAATCGTGTACCGTCATCGATCCGTATCCATATCATTGAACAATGAAAACATTTGTCGTGAAATTAGTGAAGATAAAATAGCAGTTTGTGAGAAAGCTGCGCGTCTACGGAGCGGGAACCTTTCCGATTTAAACTCGGCGTGCTTGAAAGTGTTAGTTCCCGTAAAAATATTTTAGTTCCAAGACAGGCTAAGAAAGTGAACGATATAGAGACGCAGCAAACGGCCTAAGAGGTGTGTGGTATCTTATTTTGATACCTCATCCACTCACATGCAAGGACAGTCATTGCAAAATCCCGATCTTCTGTGCCCGAATATTCACGTTCATAAGTGGGACATTTGAATCGTATTTAATTAACGACCTCATGTGCGTAATTTCAAAGAAAACATAGGGAAAGTTGTACAGAGGGCGTGGTTTGGGCGTGTCTAGAACATAGCTGTCTGAAATCTAGACTCGATCTAACTCCCCTATTGAACTCTCCGATTTAACTCCCAGGGACAACTTTCCTTTAATCGTACCCGATAATGAATATTTGAGTTCAAGAAATTCGGGAAAATTAATAACAATTTTAATATGAAAAGGAATAAAGAATGGTGAATAATTAATTAATACTTACTAAAAGATGACGATGATTGATTAACATTAGAATACCTTAGAAATAATGAACAAGTGGGTCACGATTATTCCCATTCCATACCCAAAAAGTTGCAAAACAGTGTTAGCTTCCCTGCTGACCGCAGAAGTCTCTATTTGTGCAGGAAAGCGAAGGAGAAGAGACCTCTGTTGGATTTGACACGTTTTCTATCGCGCATGTACAAAAATTGCCATGACAACGAGTGATGTTGACCACGTGATATTAAACCGGTTTTTGCGGGAGCAACTTGGTAAATCAAAGATTAAAGTGCCTATATCACTTGTGGGATATTTACGGATTTGGAAAGAGCACAAAAAGTTAGTTTGTAAGTATTTCAACCATGACAATTTTCAAACATGACAATTTTCAAAAAAATCCGTCTTGCTTGGGGGCCTGGGACTCAGGAACGCGAGCGTAAACAAACACTATAGAATTGTATTATATTTTGACGCTGTAACTTACTAAAGTGAGAATTTTTGCAAGAAAAGTCGGTTTATTAAGCTCAAAGTCGTTCTCTGGTACTGAAAAAAGTTCCTACGATTGCGCTGAATATAAAACTGAAGGTGAAACGTACACAACCACTTCAAAATCAAATTTGAAAGTGCTCCTTCGTAGATGGCATCTAGCTTCGTCGAGCATGAAAATGTTGGCATTTAAAGCTACACTGACGAAATAGGGGCCAAAGAATACGTTTGAAAGTTGGAAGAATATAACAAGGAAATAAGGAAATTCATTTTCACATGAAACGGACCTTACATGTACAGTATATCGTGATAGTTCTTCGTATTAAAGTGAATAATATATTTCCTATATGTAAATGTTTTGCCATTTTCTATATGTAAATGTATTTGCCATTTGCAATTTAATACCATATTTTGGGTTGTCTTTGAGTAATTATGTTTTGCAACTTGAATTATTGGGATATAAAAATTAAGTAAAGGAGGAGCTTTTTCGATTCTATTTTGTACTGTTGAAAATCACAATACATTTCATGATTCAATGATTGTATTAGCTTTATTGCTGTAATAGACCAATATATAAATACTTGGCTTGAATTTATGGCTTTGCTGTTATTAAATGTTAAAGCTCCCAACATTCCAACCCTTGCCAAACAACCTGAACTTGTGAGGGTTGGAGCCATGATGACATCTGCAAGGTCCAGGCCATTTTATGTGTGCCTGGTTTGCAGGGCTGACCCGGTTTGAAAGGTCTTGTACAGATGAAAATTATTCAGTGGAAATTTTTATACATTTATTAAATATCCTTCTATACAAGACCCTTCAACTATTATTGAATTGAGTGAGAAGCCAGGTTCCCGGGAGCACAACCTGGAGACAAAAATTTCCTTTATTAGTATTAGAGTATTTTTGTGCTAAATCTGCATGTGCATAAACATATAGTGTTCTAGCTGACCATGGTTTTAAATTCAAGGAATAATGTCTGTCAACCATATGTTGTTGCACCCATAGTGGGATATGGGTGTTAAGGTTTCCTTCAAATGTTAATCAATAGCAAATCTTTATTCAAACAAATTTCCTGCAGCTGTTTAACATTTACTGCGCATGAGCAGTGCTCACCTATTTTTTCCACCCCTGTATATATTGGTTACTGCAAGCGCTGCACCGGAATTGCAGGGCAGGTTGGATTTCTTCCAGCGATCAGCAGTTGCATTTCGATATTCAGTTCTTTTTTTCATGACTTTGACTCCTTTGTCTGTTGATTTTTTTTTTAAATAAACTAAGATATTATTTGTGCACTATGTGTGCTGTAACTTTATTAAATGCAAGTTAATAACAAAAAAATCAAGCATGCATTAATTAAAGTTGGACTATTAATGCCAAACAGAATTTTTGGTTTGTGTGATATTTGGGTCAAAATTCTAATAAGAAATGTAATGTATCTTTATAGTAAAAATTCACCTAATGACATCATATCTGCATGGAAATTTTGACAGTGAAAAGGTCAATGAAGAAGGGATTTTTTATTATAGAGATAACATTTCTTCGAACGAATGACACATATATTGCACATACCAAAAATCATATTTGTGGTTAGTCGTGCTTTAAAATTATATTTCTTATTTCTCATTTTCCAAATATTCATATCCTTTGAAGTCATCATCGAACACAATGGTATTATTTCATCTTTTTTACAACCATGAGCTAATCTGGTGAATCACGTGTATGCCACTGATATAAAGACCTAAAAGTAGAGATATAATTATACCTTAGACTTTAATAATGTATTCTTTAATCAAGTAAAGATGAGGCAAACCAGTGATCTGTTATACAGCTTATTCAAGAGTCACGACACAGTAATCAGTGCAGCTCAAGCTTTGCCTTGACATTAGCAAGGTGCATTAACCTATTCCTATAATAAACAGAAACTTTGCATGGTCCTATTAAACTGAATATGTCCAAAGTTTATAAAAATATTAAGTTAAGACTCAAAAATTACTTCTCCTTGGAATCCGCTTATACCACATGTTTGTGCAATAAAGCTTTTCGAATGATCAGACCAAAATCATTATTGAGGCAAAAAAAATAAAATCCTGATATTTTGTGAATGGCAAATCAAACCGGTTATCCCTTGTCTATATCAAATTTTATAGTGTTTTTCAATAGCTAAGCTATAATAGTATTGAATCTAAAATACACAATTTTTCGTTTGTTTACTTGCAGTCGCAGAATATTAATTGCCAAATGAGTCGACTATCACACGATATTTACAAATGGAAAATATTCGATTCACTTACCGAGAACTAACACGATTATGCCCGTTCCATCTATTCTTCTAGCTTTCAAAACATATTCTTCAGTGTATGCCAACTCTTTCATGCTCGACAATTATGCAGCCAATGCTTGACGACATTTAGGAAGGCTCACTTTCAAATTTGATTTGAAGTCGTTTTGTGCGTTTCACCACGATTTTATATTTCGCGCAATCGTATATGAACTTTTGTCAGTACTGGAAGACGATTTTGAGCTAAATAAACCGAGTTTTCTTGCCAAAATTATCATTTTAGTAAGTTATAGCGGCAATTTGTAATATAATTTATAGTGTTTGTTTAGGCTCGCGTTCCTGAGTCCCAGGCCCCCAAGCAAAATTTAGTACGCCGGACTTTTTCCCAAAAATGTCAAAATTGCCATGTTTGAGGGCCTATATCTCAGAAACTATTGACCTAAATCAAGGTTGAAGAACTTGTTAAATAACTTTTCGCGCTCTTTTCAAATCCGTAAAGATCCCACAAGTGATATAGGCACTTTAACGGTATCCAGTATGAAGGCAAACAAATGTATCTAGGCCCGATAAAACAGAAAATATTTCTTTCTTTTGTTCTTCCGTCACTACTTTCACAATTTCATCTTTGAAAATATCAATTACATAACTTAGAGCACTTTCAAACAACATGACAAAGGTCGAAATGACCACGGTGGGCATGCAAGCCACCATTTTTATACCACGGGCTCAATGGCACTTCAGCGTAATTCAGCTCTGAGCATGTGTACTATTTGTTTCGCTAAACCGGTTTCAGAACTTATTTTACAAACTGGTTTGACTCGTCCATGATCATGGACTGAGGAAGTGTCAGATCTAGGCAGAGGTCTCTTCTCCTTCGCTTTCCTTTACAAATAGAGACCTCTGTCAGCAGGGAAAGTGTCAGCTCGTGTCAGATTTTACCGAACAAGCTAATATATTCAAAACAGCTTGCAACACCCATTCTTAGAAATGGGTTTTAATACGCCGTTCTATTCTGTGATCCTACCAACTTCTGGAATAGATGAATATGCATATCCTTATAAGCTTAAGGATTAAAACCTTCCTCATAACATTCAGACATCCTTAAATCACCAGAAATATGGCACAATTTGCCACACAAAGTATAGTTGCAATTAACACTGCAAAACTGAAAATCCTTGGATTTCTCTGTCGAATTTGCAATAATTGGCAATATTTAAACTTCTTCAATCTACAGGCAATAATCGTTTGATGAGGTTGCTGCATGAACTGGATGGCCCAAACTATGAGTCCATAACCGAACTCGATTCAATGTGTCCAGCACTATGGCGATACCGCAAAAAAATCACGATAGAGTATTTCTCGTTCAAGTTTCAAGAGTATTCACAAGGATGCGATAAGCCCGACAGATGTGAAGTTCTGGCAGAATTCCTGAAAAAGGTATGCAAGAAATGCCATCATACTCCGGATGAATATGAGGGATAATTACCTTTGCATGTTAAAGGGGAACTCCAGTCCCAAAACAGGTTGAGCTTAAATAAAAGATCCTATGTTCATTAGAGTGTTCCTAAATTATTTCTGTTCAAATATAAAGAGAAATTTGTCATTTTGTTGTTTTCCGTGCAGACGTGGTTTTTACAGCGCCCTCACTTGTGACGTCATTGAGTGCTTCCGACCTGCTTGATTGCGTTAAACTATTGTTTTTAAACACAGGTCAGAAGCACTCATGCAATGACGTCACAAACCTTGTTATTATTACCTAAATGTTCTACGTTTTGGGCGTGCCCTGTTGTCAAGATTTAATGTCTCAAATTTTTCACAGCATTTAACTTGTAACATATTTAATTATACAGACTGTAACACTTTTAAGCGGAATTCTTTAAGAAAAAATAACTACGTCATGATCATGATCCCGTCATTTTTCTTGTTTAAAATTTTATTTTGTTGTTGTTGTTGTTGTTGTTGTTGTTGTTGTTGTTGTTGCACAAAAAAGGCAATAAATATTTCAATATATTTGAAATTGAATGTTTTATTCTCCTACAGTAGTGACCATACGGAAATCGTAAAAATACGTAGCTATCTTTGTCTCAGAGAATAAATTTTGACCACAATATATTTCTATTGAGAAATACTACCATCTCAACGAACAATTATTTAAATTTTATTTTATATACTTCTATAGGAGCACCATCTCCGTGCGTTGCAATATCTTCCAGATATTATCAAACTACAGCGTCTGCTTTCCGAGAAATTTCATCGCCGTTTGGATCGAAATGAAGCGGAGGAATTTACTCTGGCAAAATTCTTGAAAACAGGTATTCTATAAATTAGCTTTTACCTAATTTAAATATGTTAAACATATGAAATTCTAGCAAAAGACTTGTAATAGAGATATGTAAGCCAGTCAGTCAATTCATGTAATGTCTGCTACCTAAATTATGCTTTCTTTATCGGAATATAATTGCAATTGAATCATAACTGTACGCAGCTGAAACTGGAAAATTTAGAAAATAGTTTATTGAAATATGTATAGGTTATTTTGAGGCAACGAGGGGATATGTGATTTATTCACCAAGGCGCGCAGCGCCGAGGTGAACAAACACATATCCCCGAGGTGCCTCAAAATAACGTACTTATTTTTCACACTGCGAGGTCGCGTTAATGAGTCAGAATAAAATAATTCTTAATGCCATATTGCCTTCGTTGTGTTGTTGTTTTTCTCATTTTTTGTGCTGCAAAGACATTGCAGGTGAATATTAGAGGGGATTATTAACTGCAGGTGAATATTAGAGGGGATTATTAACTGCAGGTGAATATTAGAGGGGATTATTAAACGGAAATTGATTAGAGGGGAATATTGAATATATTCCCCGATAAGAACAAAGGAAACCGAGCAGAGTGAAAAATAAGCAACTTTACTCATCATCAGCGGCGATGGAAGTATCGACCCTGGAAGAATTGACAATTTTATACCAGCATATAATTAAATTGAGATATTTTTTTGTTATTTGGAATCAACTATGCGAAAGGTAACTGTTGTTCGAGCCACCTTGTTATGTTCATGCACAAATGATCACTAAATACTTTAGTATGTGTATTTTAAATCGTCCAGTCTGAGCTACGTGTTATGGTTTTACTGCGATTTAGTCCAAACACAGAACGCGGCTTTGCAAGTGTACATGTGAGGCATTTTACCCATGAACAAACGTTGAATAAGGAATCGCCATTCAATGAAACAAATGTTTGAAAATATTCAATACTTAAATACATTTTGTCTAAGTGATCCACCATTGCCGTGGGTCTCGCCAAAGGACCAGTTTCGTTTTCATGTTAAAGTTTATTACATGTTTCACGCAAAGGCGAGCTTGGTTTGTTGCCGAAACGCACGACCCTCGCTTCCCTGTTGCTCAAACCTTGTTTGTCGATCGCCATTTTTCTGTTTACTGTGTCGCCTGTTAGTGTCGTCGTTTTGTGACATGGCTCCGCAATCGTGTATATTTTACTGGAATTTCTACCAAATTTGCATATTTAAAAAATTTTTTTAGCTCTTCAAGTAAAAGAACAATTTAGTGCTTTGATCAACAGCTTCAAAATGGCGTGGAAAATTGTCCGATCGTCCCTTACCCAAAATGGTAAGTATTGTTTTTTTTCTATATTCCAAAACGCATTAATTCAGGAGGGCTTTTGGTTTTGGAAGACTACCTATTTTATCCAATGAATAAACAAGCTTCTACAATTGCTGGTATTTAGCAGGATTGACTCATTACCCAATTAAAACTATGGATGCCTCAGATTCCTTCTAATTTCACACTTTTGTAGCAGTATACGACAACTAATTTATGGTTTTAATTTTTTATATTTTAGGCCCATATTCCATTTCCCAGGAAATGTGCCAAATAGAAGTGACAAATACAACACCAATTTCCATGTTTTTGCCTGCTATTACAGGGCAGGGAAGATGCGCTTTGGCTTTGAACAATTTTCTCGTGACTTTACATAATGATTTTATTGGCCGCTGTAAGAGCTTACTGAAGGATGAAAGTCGGTATGTGTAATAGTATAGATGGATTTTGTCTTGAAAGGAAGCACTTCAGCATCATCTATTTCATCTTGATTGATTTTTAAACAAAAGGATACTACCTACTCTTTATTGCTGCTTGTATGTTGCATCAATAGAAACAATTTTTTCCGTGTTAACATCTGGGGCTATAGAAACACTCGCGGATGTTTGGAAGGATTCGAAATTGCATGGAAACACTCGCCCTTCGATCTCGTCTTCCTACTGATCAATTTCAACGTTCACGTGTGTTTCTATAACTCGATGGAAAAACGACAAATGTTTTCTGTTTCTCAGGTACAAATATAATTACGATTACTAACCTATATTGAAGAGAAGAATAACTGGAGGAAGATGCCGCCGCCCAATTGGACATTGTAGCGTCATGTGCAAATGAAGAACACTTGGACTTCAAAGAGTGTTGCTACCATAGATATTGGTCTCATATCTATGGTCGCTACATTAGAAAGACATAATTTAAATTTCTATTTTATTTTCTAGTCCGCCAGAAATATCGCTGGCCAGCATAACAAAGGCTCATCTTGTGGCATATGATCCAGAAAAGGATTTCTTACCGATGGTCCTCGTACACTGTGATTATTCTCTTAGAGTCGGTGAGGGAACTACAGTAGAGTTTAACTGGAAGTGTTTGGAAAGACAGCTGGTGGACAGATTTATTAGAGGAAGACCTAGACTAATGTCTTTGGTAAATACTAATAGTGAACATAGAATTGGAATTTAGAAGCAGGGTGTATAAAATTCATTGAAAAATAGTAGATTTGGACAAAAATAAATAATAAATTATTTATGTTTATGCATTAATTTAACACTTGTCGATTCAACTTCTCACTAATCAGCTAATTTAAAAAATCAAGACAATTAAAAGACGGTTATTAAGAACCAGGTATTACCAAAACAGCGGATGCTTCCTCTCGCCCGAAAAATCGTATCATGTTTCCGCATCAAAACATTGCAGACTGCGATCACCTTCCTAATGCCGTGAAATTGACATCTTGGGAATGGCGATGTCTGATTGGTAGATGAGAAATTTTGCTGAGATATACTAGTTTGACATTTTAGCATTCCTGAATATTTTGACAAAAAGAAACATGACTCGGTTTTTTCCTGTCAGAGCGAGGATGCATCTGTGGTTTTGGTGATTACTACAATTTTCCATCTATTTTTTCATTTTACTTATTAATTTTACACTTTATAGTATGATAACACAAAATTCCAGGCATATTTTAAAACTTCCCGTAAATATACCGCACTATGTTTTAGCCCGCTGGGCTTTTCATTTACAAAATATCATCTTAAGGTAATTCCGCAGTTTTGCATTGCGCACTTTTACTGCGCACATCTTATAACTTATAATTCCATCCATTATACGTACCGTTTAAAACAAAATATCATTTTATGACAATTTTATGTTACTTCAAAACATCTTTGGTTACATTCGTGCAAAGAATTACGTTAAAATCAATGTTTTCAAAAAAGGCAAACAAAAGTGTAGCTAGGGTTCCCTGTGTCTGTAGTATATTTATTTACTTGTATTTCACGTTTTAATGCCACAATTCCCTAAAAAGATCGGTGACCCCCAAAAGAAAAATCATTTCTGGATCTTGAAAAAAAATGCTTTATCAATGCATGTTCTCAAAGAAAGATATGTAAAGAAATGTGCAAACGACATTTGTGGATCAGAATTGTACACGTTAGTAGTTTTATTTTGCTCAAAACACAACATTTTTTCAAAAATAATTACAAAATAGATTTACTAAAGCAAAATCAGCGCTAAAAACGTCAATAAATATTGGGCTGTTGTGAGTTTGCTGTTACTAGTAATGAGCGTCAAGATGGCTCCATATTAGGGTAAAGGTGGTATATTGTTATTGTCATATCTTCTTAACGAGTTCGGTTACCCCGACTTTTTTTGTGATTTTACTTTAAGTATATCATAAACTCCATGCCTGAGAAGTTTCAGCACATTCTCATTTCGGGAACAATTACTGCGGAATTACCTTAATAATACGTTGTTTTTCTATGCTTTTCTTAGGTCGAATTGTTTGTGTTTAGTAAGGATATTTGTGACGGAGAAGTATTTAAAGTCTTAAAACAGAAGATACGGCAGGTATATTGAAGTCATTGTAAAATTTATAAAAACATTGTACTGTAGCTGAAAAATAGCATGTGCGTTCTTGTGTATTTATTTTCTGACTAAACATTTAGTCAAAGACAAATAATGTTAAGCAAGTCGGTTAAGTTAGTTTCATATTTATTCTGACACCACAGAGAACAACGAAAACTCGTTGTCTCGAGAGGGAATTTTACTCCCGTCTTTGGGTTTATAGGGGATCAATTTTGTTCGTGTGTCCTCCCCAGTATTTTTACAATCCATATGTACCCGCTAATTGTACTCAGCGTTTACACACATGTGGGCACTCCTGAATACTATTTTCTTTGCTCCCTTGCTGGTCCATGACTACTTCACCAACAAAAAGAAGATAAAAGGTTCTAACGCCAAGTTAGTTTTCTACAAAGCAAGCCAAGGCAACGTTCTTCAGAAATGCTACATTGAAGGACATTGCTAAATTAGCCTAAATTAGTTTTCAGTGACTGTCAACAAGCTGGTAGATTTGTTACTCTGCCCAGAAGCATGGCCAGAAATTACGGACATTAGTAAGGCAGTAGAGTAATGTCTAGAAAACATTTCTGATGGAATTTTTCGTGTGAGAAGAAAACTGTAGTAGTATTGACACATGCTTCTCATAATTAAGCACTGACCGATCAGAGGTCTTTTATTACCGGCGAAAATACATATGATCTGAACATCATTGGCGATACCAGGGGACAGGTTATAGAATTAAACATAATTCTTAAAAGTCCATTAATGTCGTTTTAGGAAGAACTAACTCGTCCCGTCCAAGATCAAATATTGAATGAACTCATTCAACTGACCGATGTTTGTGATGCCCTTAAATCACTCCATATTGCTATTGGATTTCTGTCTTCTGCTGGGGGAGATCCGTCAATGTCTATCCGTGAATACCTTCATTCAGGGTTAAAGATGACACGTACAAATGGCTTAAAAAGCGGGAAGGTAAATCTATGATTAAAATAGTATAGAAGTATAACTCTTCAATCTTTAAGCGTTTTCATCTTTAATTGGACAAATTTTTAGCGTACATCAGTGGTTGTTTACCTTATCTTGAAACTAAAAAGAAGTCCCTTTCTGCAAAATTTTCTTGCTTAATTTCCAACGTTGTAGTTAAATCTAAGATAAATTTTGAACAAGCCCAGATTGCAACGTCATTTTCTCTAAGATTGCGTGAAACCAACCGTCTGTGGGAACCAAAATAACTCGGAGGGTGATACCTCTATTAAGGGTTATCCTTCCGCTAATAGTTGTTAAATAACCGGTAGTTAATTATAATAATAAACGTTAATTCAATTTTGTTTTGTACTGAACGACTGTGCCTATATTTTTGTTTGGAATTAGTTGTTGTAACTTGTGTATTAAATTTAATTAGTGTTAAACTAATTTTTATACAGATTATTTGAAATAGAGTTTTAAGATGCCCCTAGATGAGCCTTTTATTGAGCTCTTGGGCAATTGTTATATCTTCTTGAATGATATTAAAATATGTTTATACTAACTTCTGATGTTTCTACTGATGAGAATATAAATTTTCTTCTTTTAGGCTGAGCAGTTTTGTGAACTGCAACATATTGTATCACTATGGTTGTTGTTATCTTTAGAAAGAGCAAGAGTATTGACAAAGCGTAAACAGGTTTGTATTATAAAAATGATACAACTTCAGAAATTTATAATTTTTTATGACTAGCGCACTTTTTCAAAAGCTAGCACACTTGCCGTGTACGTACTTGTCATAGTAGCCTAGACGAGCAAATAAAACTTGTCATATGAGAACTTGTCATACAGAAAACTTGCTCGGTTGTAACTTCCACGTTTCGATCCACTTGTCACATGCCGTACGAGTTACAGCATATTTCCGAATGAAGGATGGCGTATCTTGGTAAAGACTACCAATTATGTTTTACGAGTTACGGGCTGTTTATATGAGCTGGACTGGCCGGTAAATCGGGGGGATTCGCGAATGCTGATATCCCACCTTATAATTTTTCTTTGTTTTTGAGTTTTATGCCGCTAACGAAATGGCTTCAGCAGCTTTGAAAAGAGTTAATAAAATATTTCTGTAGAACAGTTCAAAGTGATTTGTTTCAGACTTACAAATGTTTAATTATGCCATACAATCTATAAGCAGTAGACTTGTTCCAAATTGTCAAGAATAGTAGAACTCTGAAATTGGCGTCGAAACAGAAAACTTTCACCTGATGACCATGTGAGTTAGGACAAACTTCACCCATTGTTGTTGCATGCCTTATATGGCATGCATATAATATTGATTCCCTTTTAGTATGATATTGAATTTTTTAAATAAAAAAGAAAGCAAAGTTATTTGCAAGCGAGAATTTGAAATCATTTTATTGCAAACTCAAAGTTTATCGATAAAGCCATTTTAAAAGGCAGTTTAGTTTTATAAAGAACATTATAATATAAGTGTGATATAACAGACGATTTGATTGGCTAATGCGCGTGCATTGTGACGCAATAATGCACTGTGATCTGTGCATGGCCACTGCCGTGCCCTTTCTCGGGGTTTTTTCCCTCTTCATCACTGCTTTTTAGTCAAAAATATAAACAAAACTATCGAGCTTTTAAAACACAAAACATTCCCCGCGTGCATTATTACACCATAAACGCACGCGACTCGTTTGCTATTTCTTAACTAGTGACTTTAAAACGTTGGGAAATTAATAATTTTGTAATTAAAAGTGATATTTTTAGGCGATTTTTCATTTGTAAGAATATTCTTAAAAAAATTATCGTGTTACTATGACAACTACTTTAGATACCTCATGTTTGGAAAATACAATGGTTTTGTCAGCAAGGCGAGGGTTTCTGCATGCATGTATTTTCTAGTAAAAAAAATAATGCCTAAATAAACTACTGGTGGGCTTACTTGTTTACTAGAAAATACTGTTGGGCTTACTTGTTTACTGTGTCATTTTCTTCACTTTTGTCGATTTTCACGCCATTTCGTTGAACACGTCCTATGTTGTATATCGTCTAATATTACCTTTTACTAAGTATACAAAGGTGGGCTGCAGTGTATATGTTTATTCAATCTTCCCAACATGTAAAATCCTTTCCCTCGCTTTTCCTTGAAGAATTTGAACAACTCAATGTAAACAAAATTACTTTCTCTGCACTCGTGAGTGGATCTACCGTGGAACCAAACCGTTAAAATTTTAATTTTTAAAACTTCGTAACCGCACCTCTCGTTAAACTATTTCTCCTCAACCCTCCTGAATTATTAATTGCACGGCCACGGTTTTCGTCGAGGAAACGCAAAGAAAATATTGATTGTTCGCCGAAAATTTACATAATTGAGCGCCTCAGAAAAATATATCGAGGTAGGTAAAGCGCTGTTCTTAATTTACGTTATATTCCGTTATCTGTTGTGATTTTGGAGCAGTTGTGCTTGCACTGATTATTTATCAGGCGTTATTTATATATCGGGAAAGGCGAAGGTTATCATACTCAGAGTAACATCACAAACATCATATTCACCTGAGTACACAACACCAACACAGAAAAAATCATATTACTAGATTACACTGCTATCGAAGGAACTAGATTCTGTTCCGAAATATCACTTACTCAAACCGTCCTGACCACGTAGCTCAGTTGGCAGAGCATTGGGCTAGTATTCCAAAGGTCGTAGGTTCGATTCCCACCGCGGCCGGGCATGTTTTTCGAGCTCGCCCGATGTGGATATACACTCAGAGTAACATCACAAATATCATATTCACCTCAGTACACAACACCAACACAGAAAAAATTAATAGAGGCAGTTTAGTTTTATAAAGAACATTTTAAAACGTTTTTGCCAAGTCTTTGCGGTTGAATTTTATCTTAAATTGAAGCTTATATTACGTATAATAGCATACCTAACATGTATATGTTGGGAAATTGATAATTTTGTAATTAAAAGTGATATTTTAGGCTATTTTTCATTTGTAAGAATATTCTTAAAAAATTATCGTGTTACCATGACAACTACTTTAGATACTTCATGTTCGGAAAATACAATGGTCTTGTCAGTAAGAAGAGGGTTTCTGCATGCATGTATTTTCTAGTAAATTTGTAAAGGAAACCTACATGTAAACAGTCAATCAGTAATTGAACCTTGACAGTCGCTCATAAAGAAAACATTGTCTATTCACGTGAGAATCTTAAGCTTTCTTATTTTGACATGAAACTATTTTTCAATAAATATATTGACATTAAACTTATTGAATCAATATTTTAAGTTTCAAGCCAGTTGTGCCAAAAGTTATAAGCGCTTGCGCATCATATATAGAGGTTTGAGATGGCATGCAACATGTACGCACTAATTGCGGGAACCACTCAGTATTTTAAGAAAATACAAAATAACAGTAACTCCGAATAACATTTTGATTTTTAATCGACGTTTCGACTAGTTTGTAGTCATCCTCAGGATTAATAATAGTGTAAAATTACAGATGCAGCTATTATAAAGCCAGAAAGGCGGAGCTTAAATGCCAGTTAATGAAATATGAGAAGTTCTTTGGAAGCTTTCGCACCGTAGTTGAGATCAGGTTTTCGTCTGCGTATAGCAAGAGACTCCTTGAATAACAACAGAGACCAGTGGTCTGACCTATCAATTATTTTACAATTTCTAAATATTAGTTCTGTTAAATTAGTGTTTATAGTGTTAGTTGAGTCAGGTGAAAGTTCCATAAGGGATTTGATGTGTTGAAAATGTTCGCAGCAGTTGATGTGGGCGTTGATTTCCGAGTTTTCTCGTGTGCTATGCTCTTTCAGATGGGTGTATAGACAGCGGTCTGTTTTACCAATGTAGCTGCTTCGATAACCCGGACATGAAAATTCGTAAACTACGGAGCTTTTGTATTCATCCGGTGTTTTGTCTTTACAGGACAGGAAACAATTGGAGTTCGTAGTATGCCAGTTTAAAATAAATTTACACGGACTCTTTAGTAAAAGGCGAGTTTTGTTTATGAACTTTTTGGTCAAAATGTTGCCATATTTGCCAATAAATGGGAGTCTTATCCATATTTTGGGTAGATTATCTGGTGTTGCCCGTTCTGTAAGGTCGACGTGTGGGATGTTATTGCTTCCTTCCGGGTTTGGTGTAAAGGCATCAATTAATTTCTTCCTTAAGTTGCGAGAGAAACCGTTCCAAGACATGAATTCTTGTATAGCCTTGAGTTCTAACTTCAATAATTGATCATTGCTACATATCTTGTATGCGCGGTTGATTAGGGCTCTTATCCATGCTGTTTTGCGCGACCAAGGCGTGAAACTAGAAATGTGCGTGTATTGACCGGAGTGTGTAGACTTGCGAAAAATAGTTATGTCCGAGGAGTTTTAACTCAGATTAAAATCTTTAGGTCAAGAAAGTGTACGTTGTTATCAGGGAAATCTTCGAATGTAAACTGGATTTGAGGGTGAAATTAATTGAAGGCTCGTAGAATGATTGCATGCATGGGATATCAGACGGTTTTGCGAGAACTAGCGTATCATCAACATAGCGGGCGTAAAATTTGATAACGTTCGAGTCAATTAATTGGCGTACAATTTCATCCTCGAAAGTTGTCATGATGATGTTGGCAAGGGTAGGACCTAGTGGGGAACCCATAGCTACGTCGTCGATCTGTTTGAAAAGTTCGCCGTTCATATAGAAAAAGGGGTCTTGGTACAACAATCAAGCAGTAGTTTCTTTAATGTTCGTTTCTTTAGTGTGGTGTTGATCTCTTTCTTGTTGTAATAAGTAATAAGTCATTATTATTATTATTATTATTAGTTAACAGCAATAAGTCATTTAGAAAAGGAAAATTTATTTTAACCCAGCGGTTTATTCATTTTTAGGATCCATTTGATGACGTATCGGATAAGGTGAAGTCTTCACTTGACAAGAAACAGAAGTATTGTTTAAACAACGGATTACAAAAGCTAAATGTGGATCATTTTGTTCGTGTGTTGCTGGAATTCATTTTGCTTTACTTGAAACATGTTTCTGATGATCAGTTAAACTTTTCGTAAGTTTACACAGAAGTTGTTTTAATTGTAAATCAACTATATATACTGTTCGCGAAAATATAAATGCACAAGTTATTATCAGAGTTAGACAGAACCACATCAACTTTCGTATTTTTTTATAGATAAATTACATCTATAAATTATGAGTAATATTAATTTCAGTTGATCATTTTGCTGTATTGTTAAAAGGAAAGAAATCTCAATGTGTTAATTCATGGTCTGTTAAATCCCTCGGGTCACGAGTCTGTTCAACAACCTAGGTCAGTATTCGCACCATTAATATATAATATGCTTCATTACTTTAGTTTATCGGCGTACATCAATGCAAAACTATTCGAAAAGGATTGTGATGTCATTGATGGTTTAGAGGAATATATACCGAAGGACATCAAAGTGGAACATGCCGTGGAAGCTTGGAAAGTTGCTTGTAAGCGAAGATTACCACTTAAGGATGTGTTGCGTTAAAGCGAAGATTACCACTTAAGGATGCAGGAGTAATTTGTGGGGAATTTTATCATTTATGATTTTTATATGTCTTAAAATTTAAATCCGATTAAACAATCGTCGTGTCAGCGAGAAATATTACTTTTACGTATAATTTCAAAATCTAAAAGAGACTAATAGTACAATTCGTATTACATTCTTTTTCATTCAATGTATTTTGCATGCATATATTTTGGGGAAATACATTTTGGATCACTTTAACATTTTTTCGAGTTTAAAATATTCAGTATAACCCATAGACGCTATTCAAAATACCAAATGAATGTAACGTTGGTATGATTACGAGATTTTTGAGCCATATATATTATTGCTGCCGAGCGCAGCGAGGAAGCACACTATTCTTGACACGCGGAAACCACGCGGTGGTTTCTCCAGAGTCCACTCGACCAAGTCTCAGTCACATTTCATCACTCATCAGTCGCATCTCGTCAAAGTCTCTCAAAGTCTCTCGTCAAAGTCTCTCACTCTGATTATGAGTGCTTTTACCTAGCTAGAACATGGATTGCTTGTCCCCGAGCCGACGGCGCAAAGCGCCGTGCGAGGGTACTAATTCCCCCCGGCTATTTACACCCGGGGAAACGAAAGCATTAGCGAAGTCTAAAGTTCATCAATGATCGCGGGCGTGG